TACGTATGCCTGCAGATTGAATCCCGAAACCATGCCAGCAGAAAATCGGACCCTGAACGAGAATCCTGCGCTCCGGGAGCACGCGAGGAGCATCCCAACCCAAGCATGAGCATCTCAACAGCAGCCCGCCACTTGTGGATGTCCCAATTCAGCCCTGCATCCCTCTTCATTCAAGGTCTGACACAGGGGATGCCACATGGGCCAGGCTCTTGGACAATTTTGCAGCAAGGTCTTCTTAGGAAAGCCTTGTGTCCCAGAGTCTCCACCAAAGCTAAAAGCGGTTTTCTTGTAGGGTGCGAAGTGAACAAAAGGCCTGGCACCGTGGCACCATGATTGCTTTGCAACAATACTCGCGTACAGCAAAACCACGGAATCAGTACGTTTGGGTTGCAATTTTTGGGAGCATGTTTTTCTTCATTCTGCATGAAGGAGAAAGGAGCCTGGTCTTGTGTATCGATTTTCATGGACATCCAAAACCATCCTGCCAACAGGCCTCGCAGAAGAAGCCCAGTGTGGCTCTGTTGCATCCCCCTGTATAAGCCCTTCTAGATTTCCCCTTTCTTAATTTCTCAAGTCTGCTCAACAAGTTGCGCTCTCAGGCTTCTCCGCTGAAGATCTTCAGCATGTTCCCCAAACTCCTGCACCCTACGTTCCAAACCTCAAGCCCCAACCCCAAACTCAAAAAAAGCCGAAACCTTAAACCAAGGTCGGCCCCTCCTTTCAGCCAAAGGGCGGGAAGCCAGGTACGACCCTGTGAGCAGTCGCCAAAGTTCAATTTGTCTTGCCATCCACATCGGTGGGCTAGTAGGGAATGTAGAAATGGATCATTGCCGTTGTCCGTGCAGAGTTCCTTGTATGAGTCCCTATTGCAAGGCCTGCTTCTAGTTAGAAACTCCACGCAAACAGCATTGACCCGAAGAGGTGTAAGTGGCAACGAGACATTGCCAAACTGCAGCACGTGAACTCTGTTTCCGTGCAGCGCTCCTGCACACGCCGTAGCTCATTTTAGTGACCCTGCTTCCACGAATTTATACCAAGCCTCAGCATTTGGCCGGATGTTGTCGTTGCCGGGAGCCCCAAAAAAGGATGAGAAGAAACAGCGACAACACCCCGAATCCCATATCATAAAACGACTAGAAGACAAAGCATTTTTGGTGTGAAGACAAGGTATTTTTCTTCTACCGACCCAGGTGGTGGGACTGCAAATCCCTCATTGGTCGGGACTGCTCAGCCCAGAGCTCAGTTGCTATGCTGGCAATACACAACCGCCTCCCTAGCACGAGGATTGCTAAACATGGGTATCATCTCGACATGTGGCCCTGCCCAGGAGCTCCATCAAGCCATTTTCACCCATGTGCCCTGGATGCACAACGGCTGGGTTACATCTGTTCGATCAGCTACTACTGCCTGCGCGTACTAGATGCGACAATGACGGCTAGCAGCAGCAGCAGGAAGCGTCATCGTCGTGGTCCTGGTCGTGGTCGTGGTCGTCGTGGTGGTCGTCGTGGTCGTATTCTTCGTGGTCGTATTCTTCGTGGTCGTATTCTTCGTGGTCGTATTCTTCGTGGTCGTGGTCGTGGTGGTGGTGGTGGGTGGTGGGTGGTGGGTGGTGGTCGTGGTGTTCGTGGTCGTCGTGGTCGTGTGGTCGTGGTGGTGGTCGTGGTCCTCGTCGCGGTGGTGGTCATGGTGCTGGTTGTGCTGGTTGTGCTGGTTGTGGTGGTGGTGGTGGTGGTGGTGGTGGTGGTGGTGGTGGTGGTGGTGGTGGTGGTGGTGGTGGTGTCTCGTCATCCTGGTTGTCATCCTCCTCAT